TACTATATTGTCAGTATAATTGAAGATTGAACCACATATTTAAAAAATAAATGTGAGAATAAATACTCTATGTGAAAAATATCTGGCTTCAGCTCACTTTGTTGTTTTTTTATATTTATAGTCCATCATTTCATAAGTTATACTTCTTATTGTTTGAGGCTGGAGCCGATCCCAGCTGAGCGAGGTGCAGGGCGTTAGATGTCATATCACATGGTCAATATACAGAGACACACAATTAAAACTTGTACCCACAGGTAGTTTATAGTCTCCAATTAATCTAATGCATGTATTTAAACTGAGGGATGAAGCCAGAAAACTTTGAGAGACCCCACATGAAAAACAATCATTTCATAAGAGCCTTAAAGGGATAGTTCACTCAAAAATGAAAATTCACTCTATCTACTCACGACTATGCTGATGGAGGGGAGGGTGAAGTGTTTGAATCCACAAACACTTTTTTAGTTTCAGGGGAAAACTGTTGCAGCCAAATCCAATACAACTGAAGCAAATGGTACATGCATCCATGCATTTAGTTTTAACAAATAAGGACATATGAGTCTAAAATAAAGCCACACACACACACACACACACACACACACACACACACACACACACACACACACACACACACACACACACACACACACACNACACACACACACACACACACACACACACACACACACACACACAGCCAATCAGCATTCAGACTGGATGCAGGCTTAACCCCCACCCCCCTGTGATGACGCAGGAAGCTGTGGTGTGTGTTCATGCTGCTCAGCTGTGTGTGTGGAGGGAGGACAGCGGCATCAACCCTCAGCAGCAGCAGCAGCAGCATCATCATCTCCGGCCGATGATGGAGTCGGGTCCACGGGCAGCGCTGCAGTAGAGGGCAGCAGGAGCAGGAGGAGGAACAGGAGGAGGAGGAGGATGAAGAGGAGGATGATGCCGCGGCTGTGCTGAGACACGAGCCCGAGCGGCGCTGTGTTCACTCCGTGTCCAGCTGCGGCGTCACCTGCCGTGGATGATTTTCCCGATGGGTTGCGGAGGGAGTCGGGCGGACGCGATCATCGAGCCGAGGTACCACGAGAGCTGGACCAGGGAGACGGAGTCGACGTGGCTCACCAACACCGACATAGACACTCCTCTGCCGGTGGCGAACAGTAAGACCCCCCTCTTTATTTATCTATTTACCTTCACTGTAGGTGCCACAGGCCACATTACACCCAAAATCCATCCTGTGCTGCTCTGTAATACGAGCAAAGATCACAGATAGGATCCAGTGAACCATTCAAAACACAACTACCCAGCTGTCAACTCCCTGACATGGCAGTTTTGTTGTTATCTTCAATGTGTGTGTGTGTGTGTGTGTGTGTGTGTGTGTGTGTGTGTGTGTTGTGTGTTGTGTGAAATAATCCAGCAACCTTAACTGTGGTCCTTCCAGGTAAAGCTCTGGAGGCCGGTCTGAAAGAGAAGAGGACGGTGAACACAGGGACCCAGTGTGGGAAGCAGGGCCTCAACACCTCCGGCTCCAACCACCAGAGGAGACCCAGACGCTCCCTGAGTGATGTAGGTGTCACCTGCAGGTCTGACAGCATGTGACCGTTCTGCTTTTAACACCATCACTGTATTTTTACATAGCTTCAGTCTTGCCCTGCAGAGTCAGACGCAAATTTCAATAGGAATTTGACTCCAGAATGTACAAAAACACGACAGCTTCCTCATATCGTCTCTAAACTCAGTGGGATAAATGTGCAGAGGTACGATGGAAGCCAGATTTCAAAAATATGCATACATCTATACACTTTCTCCAGGGAGAAGCTTGAACCAATCCCAATAGACATTGGGTGAGAGGTGGGGTACAACATGGACAGGTTGCCAGCAAATAGCAGGGCTGACATGTGGGACTTTTTACAGGGACACACATAAAGACACTCATGCACACACAGAAAAATCTTGAGAGATAAACACACTAAAGACAATCTGCTCCTAGAATACAAATATATGGGTTTTAACAGAAATGCAATAGAGATTGAAAGACTCTTATTCCACAAGTCTTCGATTCAGATGGGATCTGTTTTTCAGGATTATGTTACAAATGTTTTTTCGTCCTTTACAAAACTTATATAATAATTCAAAAAGATCTCTAAAGTCAATTCCTTTGGCTGAACAAACAACAATTTTCAGAATTGAATTTAACCTTCCACTTATGGGCTTCAACAATTCAATGTTCAGTGACTCAGTGTGGCCTGAGTTGTCCAACTTTGCCCACTCACTTTCTGTCCAGTCCAGTTAGTTGACATTTAAATGAAGTGACCTTCAAAATCCTACGTCTTTGTTTGTTCTACAGCAAGCTGCTCGTGACTCCAAAAGGAGGGCGTCAAAGGAGGCCACCGTTGTGTCTAAGGATGGCCAGTCTGTCAACATCAACAGCAGCGAGGAAGCTGAACCCGGCAACGTGTGTGACGAGAGATGAAGAAGAGACGAAACTGTGGGAGGAGAAAAGATTGGCCCAAGCTGTGAGCAGTTTACCAAAAGATGGGAGGGTGGTTTTTACGGATGTGTGCGGATGACGTTTGCAAGCTCATGACTGCTAAGCTCAGTGATTTACAACAAAAGCACCTACATAATGTCTCCATCCAAAGATCTCGGGATGCTGCATCTTTGCTGTGCCATTGCGAATGCATGTGAGAAGCAGAGAGTGGTCCACAAACACTCTCACACCGTGTTTTTCTGCCATGCTTACGGTGCCCGGTCAGGGAACGTGTCGCCGTGTGAAGTCAGTTTTGCGAAAAAGAAAAAAGACCCCACAAGAGCGGGCCGTCCCATATGCACATGATAATCACAATCTGCACATCAAATGTAATCTGTGTGGGGCCTTCCTCAAGAATTAGCTTCAGTTCTTTGTGCAAGTGTTTTCCTTTCTGCTGCGAATGAAAAACAAAAGTGTGGGAACCAATGATGATGTTTAACCTCAGTCGATGCTGTAAATGATTTTCATTATAGGACAACCTGAAGTGCTGTTTAAGAATCTTGAAGGCTGAAGGCTATTTTTTCCAGCCTTTGCAGGATAAAGAAAACAAACACACCCGCATGTGCCTACAATTCATTTTAAATTTGAACTGCTCCCTTGTTCACTTTGAGAAGTTATTTATTTTTCAAACTTTGTTTAGTGCTGTATTTTTCTCTTACGTCTTCTTTTTATGTGGTATTATTTTACACTTTTTATAACCACAGTGTATTGTAACAATGTGTCATTTGTGTGGCTTATACTGATCTGCATGTATCAATCAATCACAAATTGATTCTGCATTGATGACAAATAAGTCTGTGCACAAATATAACATTAACCAGTACACATGATAACAGTTCAAGATGGAGCACCAGGTTGTTCTACAGCCACCAGGTGGCGCTGTTGACAAGCTGGCATCTTAATAATGAAGGATCCACAAGAGGACAACAACAAAAGCCTCTCAAAGAGAACTATTCATTTATTTCTTCAGTTCATCTCTGCTGGAAAGTAAATTAAAGTCAATCTGTTGCTCACGTCTTGTCAGTGTTTTAACATTTGATGATTGTGTTCTCGCCAAGTGTTCACTGAGATGATGATGATGATGATGATGATGAAACTTTGTTTTTTTTGATGGAAAAGAGAATTTAAACTTTACCAAAAAAGATCCTCCACAATTTTCCGTCTTTGTATTAAAATTGTTGTCAGCTTCTGGAGTTGTAGAACCAAAAAAAGTGACATTTGCCATAGTTTCTCATCGGCCACAGGCAGAGGCTATTTATTAATTATGTTTGTATGGACTTTTATTAATAATGGATGTGTTGGACTCAGATAAATACATTTAGATATACATCTATCCCCTTTTCTTTTCCCAAGCTCCACAATCACATGAGTTGATTGGAGTAATTTTATTTTTTTGTCTTACATACTAATTCTTACAGCAAGAAGCTGAACCAGGGAAGTTTGTATCTACCCATTTAATGTAGGTTAGTTTAAAAACCCCATTGAAAATACAACATGACAATTTAATAGATTGACAAGAAATGTACTTTATTTTAAATTGATTTTCAGTCTGTGGCTGATGGTGTAATATGGTGAACTAGATTATTAATGACTAATTTGTTCAGTACAATGGTACAATTCATTGATGCTCTGACGAGAGGAACAGTGCAGTCAGGAGATGGAGCTGTGCTTAGCAAAATGCATGTGGCTCAGTGAGAAGTAGCGGAAGTTGCCCACTTGTGCTGTTGCAGTTATATAACAACATTTGTGAATGCAGTGGTGAAATAAGTACACTAAACAACTTTTATCATTTATTTATTTATTAAAATACTCAATTGACATTATCTAATCTGAAATCTGCAAAACACACTTAAAAGAAAGAAGAATTCACTGAGCCTGGAGCGAGAATTATCAGCACAAGAGACGCTAAGAGGTAAGAAGACGGATGCAGAATTATGTGCAATAGATAAATAAATAATAGTGCTAGTAATACTGCTGTAATCAAGCGCCTCCGAAGGATGCGGCCTCTGAAGGATTTAGACACAGCTATTGTTCGTATTGTTAGATAAAGACAATTGACGGGACAGGGGCACCTCAGCTATTACTTTCTTTTGAGGTTACCATGGTAACAATGGATGGCGTGAGTTGGTTTCAACTTCTTTCCCCTACAAATGGCCCCCGGTGGCTGGATTTGACACTCCGGTTTCACAGTCATCTGTAGTGCTGTAAGCCTCCGAAGGATGCGACCTCTGAAGGACGTGGCCTCTGAAGGACGTGGCCTCTGAAGGACGTGGCCTCAGAAGGATGGGGCCTCAGAATTTAAACACAGCTGTTGTTAGTATTCTTAGTAAAAGACTAGTTTTTTAAGACCACTGACAGGACAGGGGCACCTCAGGGACCAATCAGATTTCAGCACACCTGAAGCTCTCTGGTTTCCTATTGGCTGAGCTTAATGGGTGTGGTTGATAAGCCGCGTATCCGGCGGGCACTTGGACCCAGCAGAGCGCTCCGTGTCTCCCTGTGAACCGTGTGGTGCTCGTCTCTCTCAGCGGGGACACATCAGCTGAGACACGGGGACAAGTCTGACAACTCACCGCTGTGTGGCTCCGACACGTTCAACAGGAAACTCCCCTCTTCTTATGAGGTATGTGGCCACGGTGATGTCAGGATGGCCAAGCGACCGGGCACCGACGACGAGATGCTGACATCGCCGACCCTTCTCCGGGACTTCGCCGCCGAAATGAGCGCCGGGAATTTGTTGAACATGGACTGCGGCGACGGAGCCGAGGAGGTTTCGCTGGAAGAAATCCTGAGCCTGTACAGCCAGCCGATAAACGAGGAGCAAGCCTGGGCAGTGTGCTACCAGTGCTGCCGGACGCTAGCGCTGAGACACCGGAGGAAAAGCCCCAAGTCGGCGGTCGCCTCTGCTGCCGGGTGGCCGCGAAGGATCGAGGGACCCGGGGACGTGAGGATCGGGAGAGACGGCACCGTGGAGCTGCGCTTTGAAGACGGCGCAGGTAAACGAACCGAGCCCGGGCAGGTTATTTACCCCGACACGAGAGCCGAGTCGCCGCGTTTCTACATGACAAAGCCCCACTGTTCTTTTCCAAGCTGCCATTTATGAAGCGTTTCACTCGCAGGCCAGGAGCGGAGCATCCCCACAAAGAGGCCATATTGTTGTGGCTGTCTGCTTCCAGCCATGTGGTGAATGTGTTTACAGACGCGCTTGTTAACGATGCATCGTAGGTCATCGCTACGTAGCTCCTGGGAATCATAATAATAATCATAATAAATAAACACCAGAGAGGCTGTGTTACCATCCTGTTACAAAACAGACAAGGGTTTGTTCTCACAACAGAATCTGATATTTGCATGATAAACACGCTCCGTGTCTCCAGTATGGCTGCTCCGGGTTTGAAATCAAGCTCCTGCAGCAGGTCAGTTAGCTTCAGTAAACATTGGACCATGTGATGCATTGGAACTGCAGAGCACCACGGGAGCCAGGGACAAGCCTGCAGCCGAACTGAAGTGGTCAAAAAACGCTTAACACAAATGAGTCACTGCTGCTAAAAGCCCCATTATTTGTGTCATGTAGATACAGACACACAGGTTGGTGTTGTTAGTGGAGGAAAGGTTCAGTTGTCCAGTGTCTCAATAGCAGGGTGTATCTGCGTGCATCTGATGTTTAAAACAAGGAAATGCACTTTACAGGTCAAAGGTAGCCTGCACACATGCTGCATAGAATTCCTTCACTGAGTTCTGAAGGTCTAGTTTGTGTTCCACCTTTAACTAAACACATCAGAGCTGAAGATATTCAGTAGATAAATGGATCAGTCAAATGTCGGAGTTAATCAGTAGGAAATGACTATAAATCACATGGATTTCAGCTTCGCAAATGTGTTAATTTGCTTGTGTTTATAGTCTCTTATGATAGTAAGGTGAATTACTTTTACATTTTGAAGCGGTGGCAATGTCATAAAAACCAAAAGGAGTTTAGTTTGTCTAGTTTGGACGACTGTAAAAAGTATTTAAATGTAAAAGGCCCATTTTAGGGTAAAGGAAACAAAAATTTGCACAGTTTAGTTGATAACATACTAGTGGAAACATAACTAGGATTATTTTATATTCAGTGTCTGTCAATAGATCCCTTTCACCTAAAATTTAAACATTTGAATTGTAATCCAAGATGAATGGAATTTCGGTTCCCCTCATTTTCTAATATTATGAATCAGCACAATACATTTCATTAAAGTCTATACATTTCATTTAAGTCTAAGACAGTACATACTAAACATTTGATGATTTTATACAGAATGACCAACCTACTAAATCTAGTATAAAACAGTCTCAGATATTAATAAAGCAAAGGGTGCTCTTGTGTAATATAATGTAATTTTGAAAGCATTTTGTCTATTTAAGCTTCAAGCAATGATTATAATCTTGCATGTCAGCTCAGGTGTTCAGTGTAGGTGAACACAATGACTCTGAGCCTCGCACCCTTTCAACTACATTCCATTAATATGTGAGAGATAAAGGTGGGTGTGGGAGGAGGATGTGTGGCAGTCAGCGGAGCCTCAGGCATGAGTTAACGTCCTCTCTCTCTCTCTCTCTCTCATGGGAACCTATTAGCCACCTATCTTTTTCTCTCCTTCCTCTTTCCACTCCCTGTTTATTTCCTCCTCTCACCACCTGACGTCTTGGTCCTGTGCTCCTTCATCTCAGTGTATCAACCTAACCAGAAATGTTTGCTATCTGTGGAAATCACACTTCCAGTATAAACAGACTTGTGTCGTCGCTCAGCCTAAAATAGAACAAATGTGACGATTAGATGCACAGGCTTTGAAAGTCTTGACTGCAGATGAGTTTAGAGATTAATGGAGAAAGTTCTCTTCTGTGCCTCTCTTCAGTTGTTTTTTTATTTTGTTTTAGGTGAGCTTGGCCACGTCTGATTCTTATTAGACCGGGCGATGAGCGAGACCTGAGTCTCATTAAGCCTCCAGTAGCTCTGAGTTTAAAGAAGCTCCGTACACCAGCAGAAAATGTAAGCTTATGCAACCTACGTATATCCTGCGTATATATATATATGAGTCAGTGAAAATGTGTCGTCATGCTTTGGCCGGCACCCAGAGCACCAGAGATCGAGCTCCACAGCCTCTCTGCACTGCTGTTGTGGTCAACTTTCCAGTATTCTCGGCAAACAAGGAAATGTTCATGTTTTGTTGCCTAAGAGAATCACACTAACAAGCAGCACAGAGCCCAAGTCAAGTGTTATCGATGTACTGCTCCTGCTGCAGTCAGATCAATTCACATGAAGAGCGTCAGTGAATGTATTCACTCCCACTCCACGTTGCCTGAAGGAGACTGAATGATGCATCAAGATGAAACTTGTTTACCCCAAGATTTCCAGTGATTCATACCTACAGGAGAGGTTTTTTGTTGATTTGGTGCATGCTATATTTGAACTGAAATAATATTCGTACAGTTAATGTGGTTAATTATCTCATTGAAAGGGTTTAAGTTAGGATGGAGCCTCTAACTTATTTGTTTATTAGATTAGAGGCCAGTGATAGATGAGAGAGAAAGAGAGAGAGAGAGAGAGCTTTCCATTTTTATCTTTTGTCAATACCCGTCTGTAGCTCACTCTTTGTTAAACCTGTCTAACAGCAGAGATGCAGTTTTTTTTTTTTTTGAGAAGCAGAGTCAGGGCGACACTGAGCTCTGCTCCAAATATGCCCGGTGTGATTTGTTTGCTTCAAGGGGAGAAGAGGGCCCTGGCCACGCCACGTCTCCTTCGCTGGGACAGAGGACACAGTGTTTCCCTGATGAGCGTTGCTGCATGACGGTTGATTTGTAGAGACCTGCACAGAACAGCCACAGAAAAACTGCTCAATGATATTTTCTTTTCTTTAAGCTCTGCATAAAAAAAAAACCCACTTCAGTCCTGTATTACTGGAAAAAACATATTCATTTCCTCATGCAATGGAATTCAAACCGGAATGGTACTTCTATTAGCATTCAGGGAAATGTCAGACCTGACCAAAGTGGATCATTTCTTTAAGATGACCTGCTCTTACACTTCTAACTGGTGAAAGTCTGCAGATCTATTGCTCTGTGTACTTTCACCCCTGACGTTAGTCTTTCCAACAGTCATCCTTCATATCGCTATGTACTGATGATAACTCGTCAAATGTTAAAATAAAAAGTTTAATATTTGAATAAGACATCATTTTTGTACTATATAAAAAATCTTACATGACAGGTGTTGATTTATTATATTTTTCATTATATTTGTCTTTTGTCTAATAAAGTAAAGAAAGTACTTGTTTTTCCATCTTGGTTCTTGTACAACAATTTATATTTAAGAACAGGTTTGTAATAGCTAAGAGGCCACATTCAGCCTTAGACACTGAGTCTTAAAAAGGTCACTGTCAAGGTTGAGGTATTGCTTTCTTTATTTTTTACTTTCCATTTTCAAAAGAGGTTACCATGGTAATAATTGATTGCGTGTAATGGTTTTGACGTCTGTCCCCTACAATCGGCCCCCAGTGGCAGGATTTGACACTTCATTTTGCCTCAGGCAGCAGCTTGCAGAGAAAACATAATCATTTATTTACTTGCTGGTTTCACAGTCGTCTGTAGTGCTGTAATCCAGCACTCCAGCTTTTTATCTCATCCTGTGTGGTTCTCACCCGCAGCACGAGAGGTTCAATCTTTTATGTTCTGTAACACCGTGTGACTCGTGTGTGCGTGTTTTCTGTCTGTTCATTGAAAGATGACTTGCAGTACATGAATAAATATTTCATAGGGTGTTTCCCTGGTTGATTGTTACATTAACTACATGCATAAGTAATAATCATCCCTGTTCATGTGTGTAAATAACACCCCTCCTCTGTTCTTTCATTACAGATAAATACACATCGGCCCCCACGTCATTAGAGGTGAGTTCCTCCATTCACTTAACCATCAGTTTTCTGTTGACCACATTCCAGCAGCAACACTCAGCACAGAAAGTACTTTGAAGTTTGGGTGTCAATGCATTATTTAGTTCACTGATCACGCCAACACAGACAAAACAGTTTCACAGCTTGCCCACCATTGATGCAATTAGTGAGCACTTACACCACTAATAGACTGGTGGGGCCGTGAGGAACATGTTTCCACTGAGTAGGAAGACGTTTAAACATCAACTGCTGGTGGAGAGTGGTGGTATTCTTTTTTTCTTGTGTGTAGGGACTATTTGATCTAATAGAGAATTGCTTGTTATGTCACATCAGTACAGTGTAAGTACAGACATGCCAATAAGTATTTTGCCTCCACCGAACAGGTTATGTTTTCGCCCTAGTCCTCTCGTTGGTTTGTTAGTCAGAAGGATTATAGAAAAAATACTTAACAGATTTCCACAGAACTTGGTGGAAGGGTGTGGTATGGGTCAAGAAAGAATCCATTGCACAGATACATACAAAAGGGAGGATCGAGGAATTTACTTTCACTTTCTTGAACATTGGGAGATTAGTTTTTATTTATTTATTTATTTTTGACATTTTCACTATTTTCCCAGGGAATTGTTGTTGGGAGATTCTTCAACATAATCTCAGCTTCTAGCACCGGCAGAGAAAGTTTTGTCCATCACAAATCAGGGTTAGGCACAGTGCATGGCATCCCTTTGGGGTTTTTTTCCCACAGACTGAGCTCTGACCTGTGAGCCTCATGAGTGAGTTCACTACAAATGGCACTCTCCACTTTATTGTGTAGTTATTGTGTGAGCTGCACTCTAATGCAGAAGGGTGCTTTAAGGGAGAGCTCATCTTTGTCCTTCTCCTCTTTTACATGAGTGCTTTACTTTAAAAAAAATTCAACACACACTCAAACATCAGTAACAAAATCACGTGAGGGGGATATGTGGCCAGTGTGTGTTTGGCAAAGCTGGGTACATTATATAATGTTGGGAGGAGAAGTCGCTCTCTTAAGCTTCTTTATGTGTACACAGACTAATTACACAGAGTCCTCTGTCAACTCCGAGCAGCCTGTTCATCCTTCGTGTTTGTCTTGTATTTCATGTGATCTCAGGCATGCACAGCATGTGTATTTTTGCTCGCTCGGAGAAAGAATTCCTGTCAGCTGGCAGTTGAGTGAAATCTCATGGCTGAACTGTGACGACTCAATCATTGAAGTGAAAATGTTTGAGTCTGAGTGTTTTCTCACCTCACACATTAACCTTCTCTGCCACGGTAGTTGATGCTAGTTTGCTGCTCGCATGATGACAGTGCTCAGGCTGTGATACTCATGGCAGGGTGTGTTTGGTTTCATGGAAAGAAATTCTTTCACAATTGTTAGTGCATCGGTGTGTGATGGCTAAACCTTAGGACACACCCTGGTTATTTAAAGTATTTGTTTTGTTTTTTTTTTGTCTTCCTGATCGGCATGTAGCTCAAGTACAGATATAACATGTCACCTGTGTGAGGCAGTGGCTTGTTTTTCGAAATCAGTTGTTTGCCATGCATGCTAAAAAACAAACAATGGCAATGTGGCTGGTAATCTCTGTCTCTGTCTGTCAGTTGGTTCACTGTTGAGGTCAAGATGGAATTCAGAGTCCTCCACAAGTAAATTGTTGCAAACCTGCACATGCCACACCGACATAGCTCTGTGCAGGTAAACAGTCCATGTGGAGAGCACAGAGTCGGAACACATTGACTGAAATACTTTGGCTATTTTTAATCTATCTTCAGTCATATGCAGACAGCTGTGAATAGAGATGAGCCAAATTGTCATATGGACCTAAAACACCTACAAAAAGTATAGCTGTTTGTGTTCTGTGTACAGAAAGGTTCGACTTGTGCGGTAGAAGAAACTAGTCAGACACAGTGTACAGCAAACGAAAGATGGACTCTTGGCTTGGATATCCACTGGCTGTTGCCCCCAGAGGCTAATTCATGATCAGACGATAGCTGATGGGCTCCGAGATTGTCCGATGCATAACCAGGAAGTATCTTAACTGATGAACTGACATGTCATTTTGGACGTTCATAGCTCCTAGTGGAAGATGCCCATTGATAGATAAACCTCTGTGTTTAGCGCTTATAATGGCACATTAACATCAGGGTCCTAAATGATAACGCACAGCAATGCTTTCACACATCTTGGTCCTCGTTGTGTTTTGGCCTGGAGTGTTTGTTGTGTCTCAGTATCTCGTGTGTGTAAGGGAGTCAGCCACTGCCTCCCTCTCTCATACCCCTGCTTCTACACACTCAAGTCATTTGCAGCTAATCACTGGCTTGTGTGGAATTGACCCACTTTCCCTCTCACTTACACCAAAGAACTTCTGTTGGAATAATCATAAAAGATGTCCAACAACATTCTGATTAAGATTCTTACATTTAAACTGGTTGCTGGTCATGAGTTACAGTTTCTTTTTTGGTGCCATGCTGTTATGGTGATTGATGGTGAATGTTTCTAACTGGAAAACAGACTCCATGTGAGACTTGCACCTTCTGTTGCAGCCCACAGCACAAGATTAACCTAGTTTGTCTGCAGTTGAAGATTAAGGTGAGATTAGTTGATAACATACTGTTACAGGTTCTCCAGTTTGCCAGATCTGCTCAGGACTGCGTAGCACAATTTAGGGCCAAGACAATTAGTCGGTTGGCACCATTCACAAGGTTTAAGTCTTGGATTTTGAAATGGATCCTAATAGAGGTTTCTGTCATTTGAGGTTGTTCTTATCAAACTGATGTTTATTCTAGTGTTGATGTTTTAAAAACATCGTGAAATGTAATTTTTGACAGTTGAGACTGGCTCACGATTGCTTGCGTGCATATCTTGCTTGGACCTCGATACCAGAGTTCCAAACCGCGATCACTACTGCACAAACTGTGCCCCCAAATGACACCAGAAGTACAAGATAGGGGCATCTGTATCTTTGAGAAGTGTCAGTTTTCTGCCTGCTTGTTTGTAGATTCAGTTCTGTCAGCAACCCCTGGAGTGACCCCCAGTGTGATCCCTGTCTGCCTGACGTGTACCACTGACCTCTTTATGTTACACTCTGCTCCTAATCCATCAATAGATTTTTGTGACATCAACGGCTTCACTTAAAAGCCCCAGTTTGTATTACAGCCCCAGAGTTGACATTTCTGCCTTTAAAGGCATATTCACAGAAAGCACTAACCCCAAACGAATGCAGTTTGTCGAGTAATCTGAACTAATTGAGTCAGGGTATTTATTTATATCCACAACAGAAGAAACATATTCCTCATTATCTTCTTGTCCAGTCAGGCCTGAGACACGAGTTAAATTTCCTTTGTTAGTCGGCCAAGTTCATGGAGTCATCAGATCTTTTACTCGAGATGTTTTGCAGTAGCTGCCATAGAAAGTCCACGGTGGTTACTGGAATGAGACGAATTGGTTTGTGTGAAGGAGCCAGACTTTCTCCTCTTGTCTTAAAAGCTGCCAATCACATTTGTGTGATGTTCAGATCCACTTTGAAAAGTCACACTAACCCATTAGGAAGAACTATGTTAATTTGCAGCGGATTAATAAACGTTATTGGTGAAATTAAGTCGACTCTGCTGGGTCCTTTTTTTAACAGAATGTTTCTGGGTCCTACAAAATGCTGTGTACGCCATGTGTTGCTGAGACTCTTTAACTCGTGTCTGCAGTCTTACACTTTCATCTTCTATGTCTGTATATCACACCGATGGCTGTGAATCATGACCTGTACTATCATAGGTGGATGCTGAATCCATGGGGACATTTTCTCAGTCCTCAGCTATTTCCAGTTGACTTCAATGGACTTGAATTCAGACTCGACAGTTTTTGGCCACGGACAAGCACAGAGAGCCTTTGACCATGAAGAGATATTTAAAGAGCAGCGTCGTGTTCTGTCTATCCATGAAAGACAGGGAAACGGCGATGCTGCAGACCGGGGGAGGCTGAGCATCTGCTATTGCAGTGAAAAACCTCTAGATTTAGCTGTGGTTATGTAACTGTCTGTGTAGTGATGGCTTTGCTCTACTACTGCAGCAAACGCTGAAGGCTGCTTATCCCACTGCTTTGTGAACTCGGATTGCCATACTCACACTGCAAGGCAACAGTACGATTGCGGTAACCCAAAAATCAGGTCAGTTGCAATGCATGCAAATATGAGCTACTATTCCCTCCCCATCCTGCACCACCTTAAATAAGCAGCACCTCAAATCTGAAGCTGTCTATAGTTCACCAGTTATGTTCATTAGTTATGTTCATTAGACAATAACAGGACTAATCAAATGGTAGAAAATTATTAAATTGGCATAAATTAATCAGGTTTATTTTAACTGAGCTCTTTAACACAAACCACTTATCTTATCCCATTTGTGTTTTGGTTGACACATTGGTTCTTCTTCCTTCATGGATACTCGTCTTGTTCTCTTTGATTGTATACAACTGAAGATACATATATCTTTGGTTTTTTGTTTTAGTATTATTAGTCTTTGCAGTTTGCCACTTTTTAACTAAACTGGGAGACAATCAGAAATGTTTATTAATTATAAATGTGGTATTGGATTCTTCGGTTTTTGTCTTCCGACAGTAGCACCCAGCCTCAGGGCCTCGAGCCACAGACATCGACAGTATTTATACTCATGAGTGACCAAACTCGCCTGCTTTCCTCTGATATTTTCAGCCTGGGAGCAGACCAAACAGATGTCCTAAATTATATGTCTCATGTTATTTGGTCTAAGTGTTAAAGCTTGACCCATTTCCATAAAAAAAAAAAGACTGAGTGGGCACAAAGCTTTAATAATGTCATGTTTGGGTAAGAAAAGGTCAATTTCAGCATAAAGAGTTTCTTGTATCATTTGTTATTCTATAATTTATAAGCTATTTAGCTATTTACCCTTAATTCAACGTGAACGCATTTGTTCCTTCACGAGATACAATCCCAGCCTCTGACACCGGTCTGAAAGAGATTCTCTACTATAATATAAGCCTTTGTTGGGAAAACCACATTTCTTACCCTGGGCAATGATGTCATACAAGAACCTACTATCTGTTTATTTGTTAGTGGAGCGTGAGGAAAGTTGAGGGAGGCTGAAGAATATTGTGAATGGACATATTTGGAAAGAGCCACATTCATGAGGATGATTTGTAGAATTTACACCTTTTATTTAGTAAAGTGGTAAAAAAAACTGCGTCATCACCAATACTTTTTTTTTTTTTCCTCCTTCGACACGAAGATGACTCATCTTGCTGCATTTCCTCATTCGGAAAATATTGGAAATTTCTTGCGTTACCTGTGGGTGACTGAGGCCTCGCTGGTGGGAACATATGTGTGTTTCATCCTCTGTGGCAAGCTTCCGCCTCTGTTAGGTGGAGCCCGGTTTCTATTAGTGGCTCAGGCTGTTCCTGAAACCCAGCAGTGGGTTCTCTGGATGTCTTTCCCAACTCTTAATCTGCACACTCATTCCCTTCCTCCGCCTCGCTGCCTTTTGCTTTGCCCGTCCTCATTCCTCTGTCACAAGTCTTCGTATGAGATTATCATGTGTAATTGGAAAATCAAACCCCTTTTTCCTGTTTCAGATGTTTTTCCCCTCTCCTTCAGACATAAACTCAAATGATATTCTTCAATATAAAGAACTGAAATTTAGGAAAGCCTTCAATCAATGTTATGTATATATTTTCTGTCCATTCATGTCTGTAACATAGTCTGTCTATAAAACCATCAGGGGGCGATTGAGACGCATTGGCTTCACTTATAGGGAGCATTCATTTTGTCCCTCTTAATATACAGTCTATGGTCTGTATATTTGGCAAACTGACATTCACCAGAGTAAATTTAGAATTAAATTAATTATACACTGACTAGTGAGTATTCTTGTGCTAGCTACTGTTAAATAAACCGTTGTCTGTTGTCGACAGGGAAGGAACTGTTGTCTGAATGCGCTCAGGCCTGTTCAGTATAGTAAATATTGCTTATTTGGAGATGTAATCTAATGCAACTGATTATATTGGACACGGACTCAAGATGATTTTCCACACTTTATTAGTGACAATACTTTATCATGCGTGAAAATTTGCGTCAAGTGAATGAGATCCCTTGTGCTGTCTGTCACTGCATTCCCCGACTATCTCACGGCGCATGTTGTCCTACAGATGGATTATGAGGTTACATAATCAGACACTAAGGAATAGGATATTTATTTTAGCCATGGAACAGGATTATCAGCCGCGCACAGTGACGGTTGATAGATGATCACATAGAATGCCACAACCTTGATATTTGCTCAGAGATTAGGATCAGTAGATTATTATTGGGGAATTTTGAATGGGTTTGGCTACTTTTCATTGATATTTTTAAGAACTGGAGTTTTTGATTTTTAGGAAGACAGTGTGGAGTTTAAATCTGAATAAGAGAGCCACAATGCTATGGCAGTTTTTGACACAAATTCAGAAACAACCGGCACAAAGGCATTATACACTGCTGTTTAGTGTTGAGCAGTTCTGACGAGACACAAAATTGTGAATAAATAAAAATGTCATGTTTATTTTAGATTATATACATCATCAACTCAAAGGTCCTTAGCTTGAACAGTGCTGACCTGAATTTGGTCATGATCTCTGTTTCAGCCATGACTTAATAACTTTTCACCTTTTTCATTCTAGATCAAACAAAGCAGAAGATGGGCACGTAGCTCTTTGAGTCAGGTGATGCAGAACTATGTAGTTTGTCTTAAGGCTTTAAAGTCAGGATCGTCTTTATTGTCCCAGTCAGGGTTCATGTCCAGCAAATACACACAAAGACAACATCGACTGTGACAACGGCACTAAAAACACAAAGCAAGTTTAGGGTCTGGAAGTTCATGACAAGTACAAGTGCTGGTGTGTACAAATGAGCAAAGCACCAGGAATGGAAAATTCACACCAAGTAGTAGATGAAAGAAGTTTTAGTGTCTTCCCTGTTGAGTGAAAATTGTGTATTTATAGAATTGTGGGTATTATGGGTTGAGGGAATATTTTCTTTTCTTTATAAAGTTAAATAAAGCATTGAAATACCCTCTGGATACTCTGAACAAGCATCCTCACAAACCTGAAAACAGGGCTGTGTTTATTTATTATCTCAGGAACAGCTGATGTTTTTGGAACATCTTGGTTGCTTAAGTAATTAACTCCAAATATGCCCAGTCAACACCCTCTCTCTCTGCACTCCCAAGCACCAAACCCAAGAGCAGCCAGCCGTGCCTGTCCACACCGGCTTCACCCATTTCGACTCTGTTGAAATAGGGAGGCGTCTAAAAAACAAAAACAATGTGGCTCCATTCCTTTAACTATAAGAAAAAACATTACACGAATGAGTCACAGTGTGCTGTGCATATTGCCTTTTAACAAAAGCCATCTTATGAAAGCTTTGAGGAGTTGCTTGTTGCTACATTTAGACCTGCAGTGTTGTTATATGTGAGCACTGGGCTGCCACTCATCGAGCAATCCTACCACTCTGATTGTAGTCTACAGAATAATGGAGCGGTGTAAAGATGGATTTTCTGCTTTTTTGCTGATTACTAAACATTTGCTGAAATTAGTGTTGGTCAGAGAGGCCGTATATAAAGATAGACGTGATTGAAAATCCACCGGGCACATTCAAGTTAGCTATTTGGGAACAAGTTTGGTTATTTGCCCCGTCAAACAAAATGTCTGTTAGCGAGACGAGCTCAAAGGTACATTTAGGACAAGAATGAAATTTGTTGATTTGAGAGCAGTGGTTGGATGAAGCTGAAGGAGAAGACATGATGCAGTGAAAGAGCGACTTTGTCTCGTAGCGACGCGTGGTAGTTTGAGACATTAAGATGAGTTAGATCAAGTTGCAGAAAAAGATGGGTCATACCCGGCTTATTAATGAGGGGAAGCAGTTATTAAATGAAATCATCATAAGATTATGGTAATTATCAGGCTGTTTGGAGGAACACTGTGACCTCATTTCACATCTACTGTGGGCACATGACCTGTCTTCCGGTTTGTTCAGGTGAATAGAGTTTTCTGTCAATAGAATTGTTTATCTAACCAAAACAGGGCTGCAATGAAGTGGGGTTTGCTCCATGAGGATGTGCTGTTGTGCCGTTAATTACAGATCAGCAGGGGCAGAGAAACATACAAAAGTTGACTGTAGAAACTGTAGAAACTCAATTAAAAGGAACTATTTTAGACCAGTCAACAATAACAACCTGTTTTTTTCCCACAGGTGATCGACTCACTGGGTGTCATGATCTACAAAGCTCTGGACTATGGCCTCAAGGAAAATGAGGAGCGTGAACTCAGCCCACCACTTGAGCGTCTGATCGACATGATGACCAACAATGAAGAAACCGAGAGCGACCCATGTCCCGACGAGGGCTACGAGGCCACTGAGGAGGAGGATGAGTGTGAGGAGGAGGAGGAAGAGGAGCTTGTTTCCACCACTACCACCTGCGCAGTCAGCAGCATTCGCAGCTATCGAGATATTATCTTGGTAGGTTGTTCTGCAAAAGTGTTTTCGCTTTTCCCACCCACATTTTTTAGGTCAGGTCTGTAAACAGAGCAGTATGTCCGCATGCAATTATCACTCCTGATGGAGGCCGTCACGCTGTAAATTCCCCAAGTAGCTTCAGAATATGAGACTGGTAATTAAAGCTGTATAAACACACTGGTATTTGGGGAATAGGCTTAGAAACGTTCACAGCCTGTTCCCTCCATATAATGAACCTGGTGTAGGATATAAATGTTAGGTCTGTTTGCTGCCAATGCGGCACCGCCCTAGCCCCTAATTCCTCCCAACAATGATTCTCTTTGAGTTTAGTCTGCAACATGTTGATATGACATAGCGAGATTAGATAACGAGACATTCCTGACGGACCTCCTTCCTTCCTCACACTCTGCTGTTCTGCTGGTCAGAGGCAGGTTGGGTCGACGAGGGTTCAGCGAGACGTGAAGCTGACTGAAGTTGACAGGGGTAGTTGGGTGGTGGATGTGCAGAGTGGTGCATTAGTAAATTGGAGCAAACTGAGGGAGTGCCCACATAGGCCAACGTCCTCTTACCAAAGCTGTCAATCTGTAGCTGCTTGCAGACATTCACTGAACTCCAGATAATCGCCTGACATTCTTTGGAGGGGAGAACTCAAAATGTCTGCAGAGTTTCTACCACCAAGCCTGTTAAAAACTCTGGATAATGTCTGAATGAGTCCGTGTGAGAAAACGGCAGGAGATCCTCCACAGGATTCACCGCAAGCGAATTGGTTTGTTTATGCTGTTTCTGACAGATGACGGACACAAAACTGAAAAACAAATAAAACCAAAAGAAAACAAATATCTCTGATTGAAAAATCTGTGACATTCACCTTGAACACACGACAGATGAACTCTCCGTAGATTTCTGTGTTGAGCTGAGAATCTCCTGCTGCGTTGGTCATGTGTGAAAGGCAACTTTGCAGAAAGTCCGGACCCAATTTTGCAAACATCCTCAGGACTTCATGTCTAAACACACAGTGAGACATCAGTTTGACACCAAATCTGGAAACAGTGACACTAGCTCATGTTAGCTCGTCCATCATGCTGCTTTTTGCCTCCATTTTTTAGGTGATAAATATGTTTTTGTGCTTAACAAATATCATTTGTCTAGTAGAAACCACAAAAATGTGGAAATAATTTTAGCATGTTGGCAAATACTCTCACTACCCAGGTGTCGTCTTACTTGGGAATTTCTTTCAGTGACAAGGAAGAAGACAATATCTGCTGAGTCAGACATGCCTGTGGCTCACCAAGCCCTTCAGAGGAACATGAAAAATGTCATTCATCCAGTTTAGTCCTTTGTTGATGCTGGAGATAATGTTATGGCTCATCCATTACTGCTGTGGCAGGCAGCCTTTATTGTCATGACAGTCGCAGGCGAACCATAAGGGTCAGTTCTTTATGAGGTTTAGGAGATGCCAATAAGACAATGTTGCTGCAACTGGACAATCAGGTTCACGCTGTTGTTGTTTTGTTTTGCTTCACACGGGAAAAGGTTTTAGCTGCACTACTGGTGCTCATCTGTGGACGATGAAATTGTTAATCGGATGGATCGCCAGCACAATTTCTAGAAACAACTTTGCTTTTTATCTAGCGACACCATGAGGTGACTTGTGGGGCTTTAACACCTGTTGAATGCATTGTCATGGAATTTAGCGAGATTGGTTTATTGTGTGTTATGCCCAAACACACCCATGGTTAATGAAGAGAGTAAATAAAACCATTTTGAACCACCCACAATTAAACTATCAAAAGTGAATTTAGTCACACCCTAAATGAACATTAACTTAAATCATTAAAATATTGACTTTATTGTTTGTATAATTTGGGTTTGGCAGAAAAATAAGCATTTAGCTTAGTAGTTCATGCTAACATCATTGTAATTCTAACCATTTGGACATTTTCCAGATTGTTAAATCAATTTAAACAAAACTTTTTAGGATTATATCAGAAAATAACTGTGCGCATGGTTTTTGATGTGTGTATATATTGTTTTTTCTATAATGTAAATTAATAAGTGGTCACAAAAACTGCTCTCTTCCTCTTTAGCTATGTTCTTCCCACCTGCCCAGCCCATCAGACGCTCCCAGTCACTACCGGGCGGTGTGCCGTGCGCTCTATGCAGAGACCAGGGAGCTGCACACCTTTCTGGAAAAGATCAAGAGTGCCAAAGAGGTAAGACAGTCTGGAATCTGACATCTGCAAGTTAATGACAAATCTGGTGAGGAGACAAGCAGAAAAACAAACCATTCCATCTACTCATCCGTCAGAGTTTTTCTTTTCTTTTGCCTTAACACGTGATCCTAGTCTGACATGTACACTGACTCATCTACACCTTTTTAATAAATAAAGAGAAACTGGTTTTTATTAATTTCTTCTCATTCTCCTTCCCAAAGTTTCCATACTCAGAATGTTGGACCTGATTACACATCACAAACCTGTCATAATACAAAAGAAACTGGAAGAGAAAGAGTGATCTGAGGAAGTGCCAAACTCTTTAGTCTCTGGGATTTTACCACTCTGCTTTGGTTTTTACCTTTAATTGGTTGAATTAGGTTCTGTTTGGTAAACAGGATTTTTATTGCTGGAAAAAGAAAATACAAGAGTCGTGCCCAGAAATAACAACAGCAGCCACCCACAGGATCCAGACTGTCGGTGTCCCTGTCTGACCCCATGCTCAGGGCATCTGAGAACTTGTCAGGGGTGATTTAAGTCAGCATGGACATGATCTGGCACCACGGTGCCTGCTAGCTGGCAGATTTGATTCTTGTAAACGAGAGTATTGCTACCAGAGTAATGGACTATGAGTAGTGAGAGATTCCCTGTGGAGATCTTTCAGACACAATGTTTCAGACTATCAACCAAGATGTGTTGGAGTTAGCTTTTTTTAATTAACATGATTAATTCAAATCATTAGATGGAAAACTGGAGCATAGTCAGTGGATGATGTGGATATTTTGTGTGTAGAATAATAATGTGTTGTGCTTTGACTTTATTCTAATGAGAGTTGCACCACTTAGAATAGAAAATAATCTATTCTTTTAGATGGTACTCAGGTATTGGTCAGGTTTGGTCATGTTAGCTTGTCCATCTACTTGATTTTTTGATGCTGCAGATGCCTGTAATCGAGGGAAAACATTTGGCTTTGGTCGAGTTCGGACACAAAAAACAATAAAAAGTGTTTTCATAGAGGTGTGATGAATTATAATGTCTCTTTAGAAATCATCTTTCCTGCTTTGAAATTACACACAAATTCACTGAAAGCCCAAATGACCCAGTTTTTCCACCAGCTCTTAAATGCAGCGTGCATTTGTGAATCTGTGTGTAGTGGAGAGTGAACAGGGTCTGGACAGCCCGCATGCTGTTTAAGATGATTCAGGCATAGCAGCTGAAGTGTTTACTCTCATTTAACAAGCTGCAAATAAATACATACAGCTTTTACACTTGTGAAGTTGAAGTAAAAAATAATTTTATAAAATATTGAGATTTTGTGATGTGTGCATTTGCAAAGCTGCTCTACATGTGGACCAATTGCCGGGAATTTGTTTGTGGATTTAAACATGCATTTCTGAAAGTTACATATAAATCATTGTGCGTGTGGGAAAACATTTCCTATAAATAGATATCAAGTGAAACTGTCATGCAGTGACTGGTTTGTGTTGTTGTGTCCACATGACTTATTCCATAGTTTGTCAGACGGTGTAGCGTCAGTGCACAGTATGAACACATGAGCTGCGACTTCAGCGGGAGGCATGCTTCATGCAAACGTTCTTATGTAATATATGGTTATTGAATCAAGTGTAACGTTATTACAGCAGTTTAAGGAGCTTACAGGAGGGGACTGCCAGGCGACTGAGGCCCCTCTGCCCCTCCTGTAGCACTGAATGTTACAGGATTATTAATTGCTAATGAGTAACAGTACACGTTATCACGGATGGCTACAATTTAGGAGGATAATCAATAAGGTCTTTATCTTTATGTTTTTCAAACCCTCTTTTTTTCCATGCTAAGTTTCACTGAGAGAAAAGTTTTTCCGGTTTGAAAAAGGTGAAGGATAAATACTGTACCTACATGTTTAGATATCAGAAGAGATCAGTCGTGTCAGCAGAAAAGAACGATTATGCTCAGGTATAAGGGATGTGTTTGAGCAGAAACACAGGTGTGGATTAATAGATGAGAAAAAAAGCAGCTGCTGGCAGAGGAAGAAATGACTTTCTGTCTTTTGATTTGAAAGTCTGTCGTTGGATGATATCATAGATTATGTCTGATTCAATTTTGATTAACCTGAACTGAACTGGAGACAAGAATGAAGTACAGTTGGACTAAGATGAGGAACACAGTTTTTCTTTATTATAGACAGTCAGAGTGGCTACTTGTCTTAGTCAGTACACACTCGTGCCTTCAGTAGAAAACAAACTAAGTGAAAGGATGGTGTGACAGTGTGTTTAAAATACACACAGCAGAGAGCTTGTTACCATGTCCAGGGTTACCACATGCAACAGACTCAGACTGTAAAGAAAAGGATGCACATGTCCAATATGTCCACATGGAGGGGGACTTGATGTCTGCATCAGTCGTAGAACTTAAATTAACTGACTTGTACAGTGAGCATTCAGCAGACAGACTCATTAATAGCTGTCATTAGTTGGCCATTGACTTTTCTCTTTCCCTCTGGTACAATGTCAATATAGAATGAGACTGATATCGACATTCTCGTGCAAAACACAACATCCATCGATGAATTAACCAGACAGCTGGACGTCTGCCATTGGCCTTAACTTAATCCCAGCCAGTGCTGTGAATGCATTCATACTCGTACTGCATATCATAACAGTAGAAAACTATTTTAGATTTCTATCTCTATCTATCTTTTTTCATACGTTTCCTGTTTCTTTTGTTGGCTAGAACCTTCGGAAAATGGAAGGTGAGACTCGGGAGGAAGCTGTCAAAGACCTTGATGAGCTGCAAAACGCAGACTGGGTAAGAAGGATATCTACGTTACTGCACCACTAGATTTAACTATGTGGCCATGCATTGGTAATTGCATAACATGTGTTCTGCCCATACCTGCAACGAGTATTAATTATTGAAGTCCCTCCAGGCACGGTTCTGGGTGCAGGTGATGCGAGATCTTCGACACGGCGTAAAGCTGAAGAAGGTTCAGGAACGCCAGTACAACCCACTGCCCATTGAATACCAGCTCACGCCCTACGAAATGCTGATGGACGACATCCGCTCCAAACGTTACAAGCTGCGAAAAGTCATGGTGTGGATTTAATCATCCCTCACAGACTCACCACAAATATTAATTTCTTTTTAGCCGAGGGCAAAGTGTACATTATGTGGATTTGAAATCTCAGATGGCGACAACGTTTTTTTTTAGTAAGTCGTTATCCATATCAAATTTTCCAATGTCGTCCCAGGTCAATGGCGACATTCCCCCGAGGCTAAAGAAGAGTGCGCACGAAGTTATTCTGGAATTCATCAGGTCACGACCTCCTCTCAACCCTGTGAGTAATAAACAACACAGTGCCACTAAATGGTTCCCATTGGTCAATTATTAATAATATAATTTCGTCTACAGTTCTGACATCTCGTGTATTTTTGTATTTTAGTTTGGCAACATTTAGAGAATGATTGATCTGTTACATTCAGTCTTTCTGGGCAGTTAGAAGCGGCGGCGAATCTCATTTTGTTTCTCCATGGTAATGGCAGCCGAGCACTGACTTCTGTGGTTGTCCTGGCAGGCTGCTGCCCGTAAACTGAAACCCCACCCTGTGCGACCCCGGAGCCTCCATGAGCGCCTGCTGGAGGACATCAAAGCTGAGAGGAAGCTGAGGCCGGTGTCACCGGACATGATCCGCAGGAGTCGTCTGGGTGAGACGCCGACACATCCCAGCACACATGAACAAATGAACATGAGAAATAGAAGTGAATCACTTTTGGTACATTTTTTCAAACTCCCAAATAAATCTGTAATATCTGAAAGACGCCTCAGTTGTTTCTAATGAGTGTGGCTGTTTACATACTGCATGGAAGCTCCACTCAAAGCGAAAACCATTAACCATGACTTCACTGCTCTTAACTGCATCTGTCATTACTCTACTTATTTACTCAAACACTCTTAACATTTACTCTACAGCTCTACTCCCACATTGATCGCTTCACTTAATCAGACGTGTCACGGTGTTTAAACAAGGATGACTGTGTCTACAGCAGCTACACATGCTCTGCTAAAGTTCATCTGATTCTCTGGTTTCAACTCCTTTGACTTTTTGTCAAAATAAGTCCATTATGTAATACAGCCTTTGTGGTATTCTCGATAAAACCCAGCAATGCACGAGAGGCTCTGTGGGTATGTAGATAATGTGTTAAACCATTTAAGCTTGAATCAGATAAAAACAAGAGAATATTTCAGCAGTCAGTACCATACAGTGCCTCTACAGTTCACACAAGACTCCTTTTGTTGGGATCTTAAGAAGGGAAACATGCAGCAGTTGTTGTGTAATCAGATACTTAGGAGACAGTACATGTTCCCCCGAAATACTGTCTGAAAAGCTGATATTAGAAAGAGTATTACTCTTTAAGAATACCATATTTTTTGTGATTCACAGTTTTTAGTGGTCAATGGAGATGTACAAAAGTTAACCTATTCACTATAGGGAAAGTCAAATGCATTAGGCAAAAATACGGGCACCTTTAATTTCAATTCTTCTAATACAATACTCCAGGAAGTAATGGTGTGGTGTTTTGCCCTATTTATTATAATTGTAGAATGTAATGAATGCAACGTTTTTAAAATGTAGGAAGTAGACATGTTCCAATACTGATACAAACATCAGAAATACTTCCAATAATACCACGTTTGGTGAACACCTTATTTTACCTAATGATGTTTTATAAACTTCAATGACTCATCGATTTCCATCCATTTTAACTCTTGTGGATTTTCTTCTTCTCCTCCTCCATTTTTCTTATTTCTTTCCAAACACTGGCATTTCTGTCAGTCATGCGGCCTCTTAGCATGTCTTACAGTTTTGACTCATCAGGTAAAGTTGAACGTCACCCGCTGTTCTCCTACTGTCGCTCCTTTGTGTTTCATTCCAGGCTCTTTTTAAAGGTCAAGGCACCTGCTCCTCCCTGATTTAAACACTCATACACCTCGTTTTTAATTTCATGCTTGTGTCATAGAAATTGTGTGAACGATACACTGCTGTCACTTGTTGGATGTTGTGATGCATAAATCTACTCTACCCAGAATAAAAGATGGGCCAGGAGGGTGTGACTTAATCTCAGGTTGTGAAATGATCGTCATAGTGTTTATTAGAGCCTGATTGATTTATTGCTCTGTAGATAAAAATACCAATAATAATTTATTTAATTAGCACTTTTCCAAACATAGTAACAAAGTGCTTTTCTAAACTAAAAATAAATAAAATGTACCTTTTAAACAAGCTAAGAATAAAGTTAAACACACTAAATGTATGACAGAAATTTAAACATGACCTCTCTATAAAAAAAGTTTATATTTGCTGATATCTGCAGATAACAATAATATTTTACTGATTAATGACTATATTTCACATAAAATTTCATTTATTTTCTGAATTCAAGTTCTATATATTTGGTTGTATTTTTGTTTTATTTATAGTTAATAATAATAAAGTAAATACAGCTGAACTGTAAAATATCCAGCCTCTCCTTTGTCATAAGGGTTAGATAACGTCATCTGAGGAACCAATGGCATTTTTAATGGCTGATATATTGGGATCAGAATTTTCCAGAGCAGCATATTCAACATGTTATGAGTGTTTTATATTAAGTGTTAAAGCTCTGGATGTGTAGTAGTTCCTCTCAGTCTCTATCTGTGGTCTTGATGATGAAACATAGTCATTGAGCCAGGGCCAGTCGAGTGAAATCACAGATCATCACTCTCTCAGCCAGTGTGACCTGCTCGTCACCCTAATCCGTTCTCACAGTGGAATATGAAAACTTACATAACAGTGGTGTCAGCAGCTGCTTCAGATAAGAATGGCAGATGAGAGTCTGGTTGTGGCTCTGCAGTTCACAGAACCACACTTAATCCAGACGGACATATGAGAATAATATGTTTTTAATTTCGTGTTGTGGCTCATCATCTTATCTTTAGTTCCCTCTGTGCACAAAACATCTGTGTGTCACTGTAGCCCCTCACGTCACACCTGCTCTGACAGATGCTTGCTGCTGTCGTGCCCTCCCTGTGGTTCCAGTCTCCTGTTAGGGACTGTGATGTTAATGTGTGTGTGCGTGTGGTCATGATGAAGACCGTCTTCTCTTCTCTCCTCTTCAGGTGCAGGGAAAAGCATCAGCACTCCTCAAGACCTGTTCCGAAGCTCAGGTATAATACATGTGCTAAATCGTGGTATAAACTAAAGAGATCAACTGGCATCTGTTGTTTTGGCTTTAACTTTGTATTATTACTTATTATATTTTCGGATTGTCCGTCCCATTCTTGTAAACATGATATTTGTGGCATCATATATTTACAATACAAAGACAGCCATAGTTTACGCAGTAGTTATGTTGCCCAGCTGTTCAGATAAGAAGACAGCTCATTTCTGGTTCGAACATGAAACCGAAGCCTGAATCCTCTCCTGTTCCCTCTTTGACACACAGACACTCCGGATGCACCCAGGAAGTTGGCTGTCAGCACCCAGTCTCTGGCCAGCGGCACCAAGGGACCCGGTCAAGGTGGAGGCGTGCAGCCACTCAGCCAGAGGAAGAGGCTGCTCAGGGCGCCCACGCTGGCCGAGCTGGACAGCTCCGAATCTGACGTAAGATGATCATCACCTTTTTGTGACGACCTCTAAAATAAATGCTCTGCTAACTGCTGGATAATGTATTTGTTTCTACAACAAGACCAAACCTTGTTAAGTTACAAAAAATTCCAGTTAAGAAAAATGATACTCTGGACATAAATGATAATCTTCCAACTCTTGGAATGTTCATAAAGATGGACGACATGACTTAAAGTGTCTAAAAACATGAACGACTATGTTAAATCTTCTGTGTAACAGGAGGAGCCCACACGGAGCAGCTCTAGTATGTCTACGTCTTTAATAGAGGACACGTCGCCCGAGTCTGTCACAGGGAAGAAGGGTAGGAGTGTTACGTTGAATATACTGTAACATATTATATTCTACTTTCTGCCAAATATTCATTGTATTCACTCTTGTGTATTCTTTTTATTTTTTGATGTTTATCCCATGTCTCCAGCTCCTCCAAACTTCCTGCCCATCTCTGCCACCCCGCAGCCAGACAAGCGTCAGTCTCCACAGAGGCGGCACTCCATCGAGAAGGAGGCCCCTACCAGCGTCCGGCCCTTTGCACCTCCATCCAGACAGAGCTCCAAGTCTCTGGTACGTTAACCATGGGAACAATTTCTAATTAGACCTGAATGAATAAATGAATGAAGCTCCTCAGCTGTTTAATCTTCTACATTTCGTCGAAGACCCAACAGATTTTACTGCTTCAGTGGAAATACACTTGTTATATTATTAAACTATAATATTGTGTTACATTCTTTACTGTTGTAGCTTTGATTATCCCTTAAACTGATAAAATATGTTCAGTAATAACATATATCTAAATAAAAAGCAGCAGCGCGCAGCCTTTTACCATGGCTACATCTCCCAGCACCACCAGACGCACAATATATGTCTGTTGAAGTAGCTCCCGTCCTGTGACTGGTCATTTGTTTGGCATGAGGTCACTGGTTCTCTGAGCTGCTCTGTGCTGGTCGTATGATTCTACTGAGGTTGATGCATGTAATTGAAACCACAGGACAGGACGCTGCTGCGAAGGAGATTTAGATGGAATTGGTTCATTCTCACCACTTGTTAGTTAAATGGCCGAGGCCCCAGTTTCATGCAGCTGAATGTCGTCGCATCAGAAGACATGAATAAGACGGTTCTCATGGACATAAACGTACTGCTTTTAATATGACACAGTATCTCCTTCTACTTTAAATTTTATATTGCTATTTAAAATATAATCCAGAGGAAAGTTACTCTTGAGTAACACTTTTTTAAAAACTTTATTACTCTGATATCGCTGATGATTCACTATGAACTTACCCACCAAGAATGAGAATAATTAAGCTTCCTATATATATATATATATATATATACACACATCCAACTCTATAGAACTTGAATAAAGAAAATACATTTTTTATGTAAAATGTAGAAACAAATCTTTTCTGATATGTCTGTGAAAGGCTTGAATCTAATCTCTACCAGGTGTTGTGTTTCTCTAGTTGATGTTGAACAGTAGGATCTTTGTTGCCCCCCCCTCCCCCTTGTGGTGCTCATGTACTTACACTGCTCGACTGTCGTTTCCCAAAGACTTACTCGCGGTCATTGTCTTCTTTTGTAAAATGCTGCAGCTGATGACGGATCCCAGCGCCAAGGTAACTTGGTCAAAACCCTCTCTATCCATCACCATCCATATTTTTCCTGTAGGTTCAGTCTCACAGGGTCCACACGGGACAGAGGATATTTTGTGATATATTGAAGATGATTGGACTATTGTCTTTTTTGTAGACTTTTTTTCATCATTAAGTCTAATGACATATCTAAAAAAAAAAACTCTAACAAGCTCATTGAGTTGTATAAAATTTCATGAAGTGATTAGCTTGTTAAAATACAAGGTGGTGCTCCTGTGTGAATGTCCGTCCTGTTCTCTCTGGTCAGGTGGAAGCTGCCAGTGGTGCTCAGGGCTCGGTATGTGACTGTTATAACTGCATGTGATCCCATGTTACCATCAAACGCTCATAGCACTGTGTGGGGGAACTCATCCAGAATACAGCACAGACCTGCCTGTAATTCAGCAGAGGAAGTGTTCAGAGCTTTCCACAAGGAAGTAGAGTAACAATCCAGTAGAAAACATCGGAAGGTTGGGGGTTAAATAACCCGGTTGGGTTCATTAAACTCTCTCACTACGTTATTCTCTTGCACGTATAAAGTCTCTCACGATCCAGTTTATTGAATTCCAATCCGTCAAGGATAACCGCATCTACATGCACTCCTTCTTCCTCTTCTTTGTCTTTTTCCTCTCCTTCTGCTTCCTTTTCTCTCTCTCTTCTTATTCTTCCTCATCCTCTTCTTCTGGTCCCTGTTCTTTTTCTTTTTCCTCTTTCTGTTCTCCTTCCTCCTCCTCTCCACGTCCTGTTCTCCTTCCTCATCTAATTTGTTTTTTTCCTTTCCTTCCTCTTCCTGCTCTTATTCTGCCTCACCTTCTTCTATTTCCTCTTCTTCTTTTTCTTCTTCCTCCTCTTCTATCTCACAGTACCCAAGTGTGATTGTTGTAAAACTTCTTGCGATATTTAAGGTGCGCTTATTCTCTGTAATGCATGAATCACAGCTTGAGTCGTGACCATTTGTGTGAACAGGAGATCTGTCGAGTCTTATTTTGGATTATTTTTAACTGGAGCTTTAGTCAGGACATATACAGTAAAGAGAACGAAGGAAACTGATTGTGAAAAGCTGTGGACCACCAACATGGCAGCTGTTGTTTGTTGCTGGAGGCATCTTCTCACATTGTTGCCTGCTCTCACATGCACCATCTCACTGCACGTTTGCTTTTCGGGTTAAGTGGTGATTGCTGGGTGCTTGTGTTTTGTGGGATTCTCAGTATTTCTTTAGTTTTGCCTTTCACATCATCTGTTTACTGATCTGTGAACGATGAGGGAGTTTGCTGAAGTGTGGATTCTCTTCTTCCAGGAGGAATTCTGTTACCCCGTGGAGTGTCTGGCGCTGACGGTGGAGGAGGTGATGCACATCAGACAGGTTCTGGTCAAGGCTGAGCTGGAGAAGTTCCAGCAGTACAAAGACATCTACAACGCTCTGAAGAAAGGAAAGGTAGGTTGTCTTCAATCAGGCTGATGTTTTCAGACTCATTTACAGTTACTTCACCTCATTCTTTCCTCTCCAGCTTTGCTTTTCATGTCGGATCAAGAGGTTCTCCCTCTTCACCTGGTCCTACACCTGCCAATTCTGCAAAAGGTGAATTTAATTTTATTCATACAGTTTCCACAGGGTCTTAAATACTTTAAAATACTGTGTATAGTAACATAAATATGTTAAGGTAGGTCTAATTATGTTAGCATTCATATAACGCTACCTCTGTTGTGTTGTAGTTCTTTCTATAAGATGTAGGAGGCTGTAATAAAACTAGAAACAAGACCATCATCTCAATAACTGATCATCCCAAGACACCCTGGTCAGAATTGATCTCAGTGCACTCAGCTTATTAGTGGGAACAACTATGGATGGTCTCGGCCTGTAGTTTTAAATAACTTGACATTTCGGAGGTTATTGCTTCACCTTATCTTTAATTACGGGGAAGTGTGAGTAATTCTGTGAGTCCCATATTCCTTCGTGTTGATTGTACTTGTCACAGTTCTTACATTTCATTCATTATGGTCTTCAAATTTAACTTGTTGCAACCTTCAGAAACTCTGCACTCAGCTGAAGTTCAGCTACTGTTCAGTAATATTTAACTTAACGGTTAATTTGTATCTTTTCCAGGCCTGTGTGCTCCCAGTGCTCTAGAAAGGTAGGAGGCGGTCGACTTCTGTATATTTAACACACTCACAATCACTTTAATGTAAAAACGTTAGACTCTTGACACGTGTTAGCTGAGCCACGAGAACTGTCATGTTTTTCCTAAAAACACTGAATAAACTATTTTCAAATGTCATTCTATTTCAGATGCGTCTTCCATCCAAGCCTTATTCCACCCTGCCCATTTACTCTCTGGGCCCCAGTGCTATGGTTAAAGAAGAGGCAAGGGATGCATGTGCCCCAGCCGAGCCTGAGAGGAACCTGTTTGGTTCTGGACAAAGTCGCCACAGCCTACGCAGGAGTGTTAACAAGTACGTTACTGGAGAGCTTGCGTTTGTATTCATGCACATTCAGTTCGATGTTCAACTCTCTGTTTGCTTTCATGAACGTGAAGCTGTGTGGAGATTTCAATCAAATGGCCTCATATAATGTGTAGACAGAACTGGGTGGCAGAGACAAATGTTGTTTTTTCTCTTCATCCTCAGGTCGTCCAAACATGGCGGCGGCAGCAGCAGCAGTGGCAGCAAAGATGACCGGTCAGAGGATGAGCCGGAGCTGCCCAAGGAGCTGACGGAGGATTGGGTCGCCATGGAGGTGTGTGTAGACTGCAAAAAGTTCATCACGGAGATCATCTCCACCAGCAAGCGCAGCCTGTGCGTGGCCAGCAAGCGTGCCCGCCTCAATCGCAAAACTCAATCCTTCTACATGTCATCGTCCAACTCCGTCAACTTCCGGCCCTCGGAGCGCACCATCAACGAGGTGTAGAACGAAGGACTGCTCCGGTGCACTTTTGTTACGCTGAGCTTATTCATTCCATGAAGAAGAAAAATCTCCTCTTAGGCCACAAGGACTGGTTTACCGCAGTTTATCTAAAAAGTGATTTTCAAAAATAAAAATGAAGCCATGAAGCCAGTCTGCCCCACCCCAAAGGTAGAAAAGGTTGTTATACCTTACCCCTCCATCTCAGGAAAAGATGGCACGCTCTGATTGGTCGTGACTAGTCAGGACTCCGCAGTAGCTGCCAGATCACAAAGGAGAGCCATGTTTCTATCAGCGGCAGTGATGGACATGTTGAGCTGCTGATGTCACTGTTGTGAACCAGGTAAGAGAATGTATATTTGACTCAAGAGCAGGGTTAGATGATACAGAAAGCCAAAAGCTGCAGTGATTTTTGTGTAAATAGCATCAAGGCCCAACCCTGATCCTGATCTTAGCGCTCAATAAGTTTTCCAGTTCCTGTTTACTTCGAGCACTCAGGAAGAACAACCGATTGTCTTTTCTGACAGAAATGCACTGTTGATCCTCGTGTCAGGTCTGCCGGGGTCGATCTCCGCCCCCTGCCCCTCCTTTATTCTTCCAGCAACAAGTATGCCAAATGTTACGTCATCACTCACTTTTTAGTCATATATATATAAATGCATATTCACTGTTATCACAAACACACTGGGGGTTTAAGAAGAGTCAGTTTATTTTTCTTGGTGGGGGTTTCTGCTTTTAGTTGTAATGTATATTCAAATTCTGTGCCTGGTGCCAAAATGTATTTTTCTTTGAATGCCTTTGTAGTCATGGACCTACTGTACATATGTATGATATATGCACTCAATGGGGGACAGTTGAGGGTAATGCATTGTTCTTGGTGTCTTCACCCGTTCTTGTTTCAAGCTGCGCAAATCAAGCACAGAAACGTGGGCTGTGAATGTGTACATGCTGTATATCTTAATTATTCCAAAATTTAATATAAGAAAAACTCAAATTAAGTAGAAATATAATTTTACCATGTTTTAGGATTCCTGCCTCTGGGGCTTCTTTATTTTATTTTATTTTTCTCAGACCTTTTTATTATTAGTGTCCTTATATTTGTGTTGATAGTACGATTTTATTTCTATTGTATAGTTCATAAACTCCTCAGTGTTAAGATACTCCTAAATCGCAAATAGCACTTTTATTGGACCAATTTATTGTTTATATTGAGGTTTTTTTCTTGTCTTAATTAATTGATGATAATAATAATGATTAATCTTTATTTGTCACCGCTGGGTCCATAGTGTTATTTCCCAGGGTTCCTCATGAATGAAGGTATGTGTGAATGTCTGCAGGTTGTTTCTAAAGGAAGAATAATGGCTTAAACAAAACACTCCACTGACTTGATTGTAGGAAACTTTGAGAGTATAACTGTCATTGAATGAGCTCAATGAACATTATAGTCAAACTTGCATATAAAGTACGCATTTAAAACATCTCGTGTTCATATTGCATTCTGGGACAGTTATCACCAAACGAACAAAAAGCCCGACCAGCCTGTCAACTGATGCCATGTTCCAATAAATTAGTCCATTTGCCCAGTTTTAAGTTGGACCTCTGTAATGAATGTGTGCATGCTGTACTGTGACTTGTTTTTATCAAAGAAATTATAATAAAATCATCATCATTCGTACCCTGTTGCAGAATTTCAAAGTTTTCGCCAGCAGAGGGCAGTAATGGGGGGACATCTCTGATGTCCTCGCATCATCCTGTTGTCTTAGCGACATCATGTGGTACGAGCTGTGTTCTGCACCCATGTTAAATTGCACCACTTCTCCAGAGTTAGATTACGTTGACACTGTAAAATGCAGCACGAAGATGTTGCCATTCAGAATCTGTCTTTACAGCTGACCAACTACAATAGAATCACTTGCAAGTAGCTCTTGCAGAATTTACTGGTTTCATGATGGTTGACATGTAGTTTTACTCTGGTATTGAAAATAAAATTAAACTTGTTGCTTATTTTAACTAAAATGTTGTGTGTTTTATTTCCTAGGTTTTGTTTCGTTTGCTTTTTTTTGGTTTGTCTGTTAACAGGATTACGTGAAATTTACAGCACAGATTACCACCAAACCTGGTGGAAGGAAGCGGCATGGGTCAGGAAAGAGCCCAGTAACCTTTGGTGCAGATCCACAATCTTTCTTTCACATGATGAGATTTTTTCAACATTGTTGTTGATTTCTTTGAGAATAAATCATGGATCTTGATGAGCTGATACGAGTGTGTGATTGCGTGCAGCACGATTTTGAATTTAAGAGATATGTTGGGTGGAGGTATGTGTCCTTGTTCGATTTTGAATTAAGTGAATTTTAACTGTACAAGAAGTTTGAGATTGCCTTGTAACAGACTGGCAACAGATGATTTCCCATGGAGCAACAAGGAAACCCTGCATTTCAAACCACTCCAGGCTGTAGACAGGTCCCTCTGGTTGTAACATGTCTCTTTAAAAAATAAATTTCAACTGTTCTGTTTACGAGAACTGATTTTACAACCATGAACTAAAGACAAAGTGTGATCTCTGTGCCTGATTTCATGTTATATTTGTCATTACTGTTTTTTATACTTTGGAGTAATACTTCTTCAAAGAGTTTTCAGTTTCAGGTAAAACAAACTTCAAATGTAAACACGAGTTGTTAAACAGCATAATGTCTATTGTGGTCGATATTTGTGTGTGTGTGTGTGTGTGTGTGTGTGTGTGTGTGTGTGTGAGTGTGTGAGTGCTATACACCTGGTAGCCTACCATAGCTATAATGTANTGTGTGTGTGTGTGTGTGTGTGTAGGCTAGCAATGAAATGTTACCCCATGATGGGTTAGTAACAGACCCTGAAAATAACCTGGCTGAGCAGTGACCCTCACACTGTTTTCTATGGACAGAGAAACACAGTCAATAAAAGTCTGAACAGGCTGCATATGTAGCAGCAGCTCAGTGTTGGTCTTTAACGCTGCATATGTGACTCAGTTATAGAGTTTTTTTAGGTTTTAGTTTAGTAATTTTCTCCACATGATGGACACACACAGAGGGCCATTAAGAGGCATTCGGAGGGCCCAGGCTAACGAGGGGCGACTTAACCTACTGACAGTCTGAGCTTGCTAATGTGGAGTGTGATGAAATTCCCTTTTGGCCGCTGCTCCAGAACAAGTTTCAATGTTTTGCCACTAATGGGCAGGGATTAAAATGCTAAGAAAGAAATCTGATCCGAGATCTCTTGCCCCCCGAAGGACTGTACACATGTTGAGCTTGGTTGTGTGTGTGTGTATGTGTGTGTGTGTGTGTAGCTACATATTTAGCCCACATGTGGAGCTCCTATATGCTGTCTGACGCTCCGTATGAGAGGAATGTGCGCTGATGGATCAAGAGCTCGCCACATGTCAGTCTCACTGTAACATAAAACCTGTGTTCTCGACATCTAATACAAACTGGTTTACTTCTCTGTCATAATTCTTACACTATTACACCAAAGTTAAATATAATGTCTGTATAGTGCTTCATGATGAACAAATGTCTCACCTGATAGCAACGTGTGTCCATCTGTGTCAACCATGTGTGCTTGTGTATGAAGGGAACATGACTCAGATGGTCTGCAGACAAATGGGGGAGCATTAAAGTTGAACTTGGGACCAGTAAGCAGAGACTCAACCAGTTGTTCTAATATGTTGGGACATTTAAAGCAAGAAATTCAAAACAGGATTGTGTTTGTTTTGTCACCACATTCTGTACAAACCTACGTCAGTGTTCCAACACACGCAGGGAAATCAATAATCATTAATAGAAGTACAATAAGAAAAAGGAAGGTCTTTCACTTGTGCAAATAACAGCAGCACATTGTGCTTGATGCAGAGGATCAGTGATGCAATCTCAAACAGTCTCATACACGCAGATGATTCCATGTAAACCATCACCTGGGCCAGAAGCTGGTTGAGCACAGCAACAGGGTCAGGATACAGGAAGAAGACGACAGAGATGGTAAGACCGGGGGCGTTTCAACAGGGTAGAACGAGAACGGCTGATTACGTTACTCCACAGCAACGACCATTGTGCAGGGTCTCCCAGGTTCTTTGAAACACCCCTGGGTAAGATCTGTCAACAAAATCTCATTGGCTCACTGATTTTTGTTAAACCCTAGGAATATGTTGCTGCTCACAGCTCACAGATTACCTTTTTATCTTAAGAATCTCACAATTTGAGATGAATAATGATTAGCAGAGGGAAACAGAAATGGAAGCATTTTAAGATCTTAACTCAGGTTGAGACAAAAGGAAGGATATTTCTCAGGAGCTACATTTAAGAATGTATGAGAAAATAGTCAAAATCTCATATTTGGCTTAAATTGAGCTCAGTTATGTTGAGGAGAAAAAAATATGCTATTTTAAATTTTCCTTTCCTCTGGGACATCTGGCATCTTCTTGTGTTGCCTCATTGTTTCCTCAGGCGATTGGAAGATTGATGTCAGATCACTGAATGTGTGACGATCTCCCCAAAAAGCTTTTTCAGTTATAATTGCGCGTAGCAGGTCACTGCACACCCACCAGCACTGTACATTCAAATATAGCACTGTCACATGTCCTCACATCACCGTAGCTGCCTGAGAAGCCATTTTCTTCATGTAACAACGGCACGTGAAGAAGAATAAAACACAGAACACGTTTTGTTAGGGAGCGGCAGGAATAGATCTCAGAGTCATGGATTAAACCAACAAAACTGGACAATGTCATTTCAATAAAACTGTTCTTCTAAGCAAAATTTCAGTCATATAGACTAATAAAGATCGACCATGAAGGACTTTGCCATGGGAGCTTGTCACACTTCATCATCGTCATGTGCACCCTGTTAGAAGCATGAGGGTCATGGAGGAATGTGTTTTCTTTAAAGTGCGACTGTCTGATCGGACATTTTGAACATATCGAGTTAATGCACGGACAGATATTCAACATGTGTTCAGTTTTGCACAACAGCCGTGAGTCCTCTGCTGTGTGTAAACATCTATGAAATAAACACATTAACACTTTTAGTTAGCATCAAACCAGTCTGCAGAAAGAGCTTTTTGGATTTTGTGTCCGAGCAGCTGCTTGTTGTGCGTGTGAGACGGCCTCTTGTCATCTCTGGGGTTCGGTTCCCCCCCAGGTGCCTCAGATGTGACGGCTCTGCACGGCAGCCAAGCTCTCCTTTGATTGACACCGCCTGGATTAAAATGCCGCCAAGCTGTGGAAGAGACTGAGCCGCGTGAGAGAATGCAGTCTGTTACAAAATGGTTTCCCATTTGTGTGGCTAGAGGCCCATAAATCATGGCGAAAAGGAGGTGGAGAACTTGTAGCCAAGCATTTGCCAAAAGTGGCAGATTGGATGAAAGGTCATGGTGGGTTGGGTCTGTTGGATACACAGACCAGTGGCAGAGAGCCATGGTCAAACAGCTTGTACGGCAAAGAGCCTCTTGATGTCCAAACGTCCGTCTTTGGGTCGTAACACTCGAAACAGTCTGAGTCCTCGATGACATCTTGGCTGTTGAGGATGCGTCCGCCGGTGACGTAGAGCTTGTTGTTGATCACTGTCGCGCTGTGGTGCATCCTTCGCTCCTTCAGATTCTCACATTTGACAAACTTGTTGGCTTTGGTGTCGTAGGCTATCATTCGCCTGGTGTACCCTGGAAATGAGATTTTCAGGTGAGGTCAGGTGTTACGTTTCTTATAAATATCAGATGAAAAACTGACAGTGTCTGGTTACCTGGTAGAAGCTTATTCCTCTGAGCCCGATCAAACACACAGCGCAATTAATACGGGCACTGTTAATTTCAGTCAACCCTGATTACATTGTGGTGCAACTGTATGCACTGTATACTCATATATTGCTCCTCAATTTATGTCTGGAACTATATAATGTGTCATACCTTACATGCATGTAATGTGAGTGTTGGTTCACATTGGCGGAGTGATATGAGGGAAGCTGATATGTGTTGGGAGGAGTTCAGGTTTCCCATGTCAGGGAATTCCGACATAAAACAAGTTCTGAATTCCACAGAAAAAAAAATTCTCCAAGCTCTTGCTCCACCAACAGCCCAAGTAAACACATGGGACAACAACTTATGAGAGTCTGAACTCACCTCCTATGATGTAGATCTTGTCCTCTATGACGGCAGCAGGGGCACAAACATTTTTCACCGTCCTCGTCTCCAGCCTCGACCACGAATTGCGAGCGATGTGATAAACCTGTTGACAAAAGAAAAACATTAACACTCAGTCTGCTTTCTAGATTCAACATTTGCTGACTTTCTAAAGAACTTAAAGGGATAGTTCAACAAAAAAGGAAAATTCACCCTCTATCTACTCACCACTATGCTGATGGAGGGGTGGGTGAAGAGTTTGAATCCACAAAAGACTTTTGAGGTAAACAGTGTTGCAGCCAAATCCAATACAAATGAAGTAACTGGCAGACCGATTCTTCAAAAACACAAAATGCCTCCATACTGCTCCTGTGGCTTCATCAGCAAGTGTCAGTGAGCCCCCATGTTCAAATTCAACTCAAAAAGGCATCATTTACACCATGTTTTTAGCCCAAAGGTCCTCTGATATCCTCCTCTGGAGCCTTGTTCACTTGTGGAGCACAAAAGTTCTTAAAACGTTTAGAGTGGTCACCATTTACCTCAATTGTATTGGATTCAGCTGCTACACTGTTTACCCCTGAAACTCCAAAAGTGCTTTGTGAACTCAAACACTTCACCCACCTCTCCATAGTGGGAGTAGAGTAGATAATGAGTTCTGTGAACTATCCCTTTAAATAGCTTCTGATATACTGACAACTAAACTATGTGCATGTCTGAATTTGTGTGGTACAATTACTGCCACTTGAGAGTTGATCCAATGCTCTTAACTACCTGAATCAGCCTGACTGGGTTCTGCATGGCGTCCTCCCCTCCAAAAACATAGATCCTATGATCACTGGCTGCAACGGCCGGATGCAGCACGGCTGTGGGCATCGGCGCCATGGCCTCCCATTGGTTAAACATACTGTTATATCTCTCCACTGACTGAGAGATCTGTTTGTCTACCCCGATGCCTCCCAACACAAAAATAAAGTGCAGATAGGACACACTCTGGTGGGCGTATCTTGGCTCTGACATTGGCTCGGCAGTCCTCCATTGGTTTGTTTTGAGGGAGAGTGTGTAAACTGTGGCGCTGACCGAGCTGTCACCTGATGTCATGCACAGACTCAGGCCACCGAGCACATAGAGGATGCTGTGGATACACACGTATGCAGCTCTGTAGAGCCGCAGAGGGAGCTTGGCCAACCACTGCCAGCGATGGGTCCTCTCATCGTACAGCAGTGCTTCACGTGAGGTTTGTTCATTGTTCTTGCGTCCCCCAACCACCACTAGTGTTTCTCTGCAGGTGTAGCGTCGAGGTGTGGTCCACAGCAGCTTGAGCTCACGGCTACACTTAGAGCTGACTGTAAGCATGAGGCGACGCACTGAATCGATGATCTCGGTGCACAGCGTGGACGACTGCACCAGGGGGTCATTGGCTATGAACTGGAAGAGATACGTTGGGTGGATGTAGCGAAGACGGACCTTCTTGAAGAGGTCGTGGATCGCACCCCGTCGTGAGAACGGGTCATGGTGGATCCACGCCAGCAGGGTCTCAAACACCTGCTCCTCCTCAGCACAAAGACGGTCATCTTCGAGGTAACACATGAGCTCAGGGAGAGACAGCTCGCAGAAGTCCTCTGTGGCAGCAACGTCAGAGAAACACCTCACAGCCATCTCCTTGGCTCTCTCCCTCAAACTCTCACAGTGGAGGATCTCAGAGAGACGGATCATGCTCAGACAGTTCTCTGGACTCAGCTGACCCTGGAGGAACAGTGAACAGGCCTCAAACAGACCTCCGTAGTGAAGCATGGATGCTGCTTGCATGAGCGGCAGGACAAACTCCATCGTGATGGTAATGCAGCCTGTGTAGACATAGTCGACGATGCCACTGATGATGCTCGAGGAGATTCCCTTCAAGTTCACCCGGGCCTGGCTGCTCTCCAGAAAGTTGCTGCAGAACATGGCGCGGAAGTACGGGCTGCTGGACACCAGGACGTTCCTGTGGCAGGGGATCTCCTGATGCTCGGTGCAGAGCAGGACGTCGGTCAGGATGCCATCCTGCCGCAGGATGTTGAGCTGGGAGAGGAGGGTGGAGGGAAGCTCTGAGTCTTTGAAAGAGAAAACTTCACATGGTCTACAGGCCATTCTGTGGACAGAGGAGAAAGTGAGAATGGTAAAGAACAACAGAAGGAAACCGTTGCTGATTGATAAGGCTATTTTAATTACATAATTGGAGGTAAACTGTTCAAGTTGAGTTTATTTCCATTTTGGGAAATATTTCCTGACTTGCTGAGAGTTAGATGATAAAATTGATACCCATCTTATGTCTGTTAAACATAAAACTACTGCCAGGTTAACTTAGCTTAGCATAAAGAATATTCCTGGAGTCTGATTGAGAAGAATATGAAGTATACATTTCCAAATTATTCAAACTATCTATCTATCCATCTATCCATTTATCAATCCATTATTATAGTAAATTAAAATGTTGCATAGGTTAGTTCATTAGTTCGTTAATTGTTAAAATTCTGTTTCTCCACGTACCAAAGCCCTAACACGTCTTATTGACCTGTGCCTGTGTCCTGAAAGCTTTATGTTAAAGTTGATGTCATGTGCTGTTTGTCAGTTTAATTTGTAAGCTATTCAAAAAATGGATATCGAGAACAACACAACACACACGGTGAAACTATTTGGCCTATTTGTTTCATGTGGCTTTTTATCTGGCTCATCATGCTAACCATGTGGATCCCTGGGATAGTAAACACATTTATTTATTAGCTCCTGCCGGGCAGCTGCTCTTAATGTGAATTACTGACTCACACGTTTCTATTTCAAACACCTTCTAATTTACCCTGATGAAGTAAGCCAGACCTCACGTTAAAGCTGCTCATCACTGCAAACCACTATCAGAGCTGCATCAACACACTTATCTGTATTTGTACTTTTATCCTAATAGTTCTGGACCTTTCTATGCTATTTTCTATATATTATGTTTTTTTATTATTTTTTATTAATCCTATTCCTCCTCTCAGTCCGTCTCTCCCTGGTTGTCGGGTTTGTGACGACCCTGCTGTTAAAATAGCAGGAATTTCATTGGGCTATTAGCAACACTAAGTCTGCTAATCACTCCCAGGACAGCTACTGGTTTCCCCCCCCCACTTACGGGCCCGGCCTGTCTGATATATTTGGACCACTAATCATTATTGTATACAATGAAATGCAAGAGGCTGTGATTGACATTTTTCCACCATCAGTTTTCTCTTAGAGCTTTGAAAGAACTACAGGTAGAGACTCAGAGCTAATTTTTAATAAACTGCATCTGGATTTATAAATTACAAGTCTGAATTGTAATTTAGAAACCAATCATCAATAATCTTATTGTACATTATTCAGATAAAAGTCTACCAATTGAACTTTAAAAAAATACT